AAAAGATGTTCAATAGGAATTTTATTTTGGTTTTCAGCTGACAAACCTCTATGTATTTGTGAACTCAACTATCAGTATTCCAAGGACTAATGTTTAAAATGATGGAGGTCTGAACTTCCATGCTTCTATCAGAGAAAATATCCCTTCTCTTCTCTGCAAAGCATTTAGTTTAGCCTACCCTGCAAATATCACAAAAGACATTAGTTCCATCTCAATTATTGCAGTTGGGTTCTGTTAGAATCTAAATTTATTTCACAGCAGCATGTAGTTGTGTGTTGTTAACACCTGACTGCTGAAAAGTACCAGGTTATTTCAGTGGGACCTTTGAATGATGTTTTCTAGTTCCTGCTAAAAAATAGTGGCTGGGAAAACAAAACCCCATGAGTGAAGTGCTGACAACATCTGCTGTCTTTACCTTTATCTAGCTCCAAATTTTGGCTAGAAACTCTTCACATGCCTTCCTTACCCCTCCTTTTTTGCAGGTCTGCCAATAGTGTATAAAGAGATTATTTCAGCAGATGGTGTTCCTCATTGTTATTCCTATTTGTATCCAGAGATTTTTGAGTCCATGGGTGCAAGAATGCTCTTGCCCACTGTGGTTGTATTTCCACTTTGGCTTTAATTTCAAAGAGTCCATACGGCCAACATAATCTGTGATACCTCCTAATTAATAATACTTGGAAGCACTGCTCTTGATGCTTTCAAAATAGTAATGTGTATCAGGTTGTTTGTGCTGTGTTCTGAGTCTGTCAGGAGAAAGAAGAGCATGCAGATGATCCTTATAAGCTAGTAAAGAATACTGGATCATAAAAGAGGATATACTAGCCCCTACATACAAGAAGAAAAATGTTATTAGATCCTGTCTTTTTCAGTGCTCATGCTGGAAGGTGGTCAAGGTTACTGTAAGAATTACTTTGCAAGAGATTGTTCAAAAGCATATTAAAGACAGAAAAACTGGTGAGGTATTTCCCCTATATGACTTGCCCAAGTCAATTTAAGCAAATCTAAAAGCAAAGTACCTCTTCTAGTTTCTTATGACCTAGCCTGCATCTTCTGCAAGTACAACAACGTGTTTCAGATCATTTATATGAGAGTGCATGCAAATATGTGTCTCTAAGTGTTTTAAATGTCTAAATTCCCACTGTAGTAATATTAAGATATCTAGAACAGTATTCAGGTGCATAGAAAAGTATCCAGTACCATGTGGAATACTCCTACGGGCATCCATACATTCCTATTTGTCTGCTGAATTTCTCTGTAAAACAGAGAAAATAATAGTTGAAAACCAATCTACTGATATCTTTGAAAGCCTCCAATAAATGGACTACCAGGGATAAAAATAATTGTCTTTTCAGGAGTGCATGATGCATGAGAAGTGACAGGGACACAAGAATAGAAATTACTGAGTAGATGTTATGACCACATCATCTACCCCGTGAAGATGCGTGTTTCTTTAAAATAGAAATTTAATACTGAATCATAATGCATATGTTGCATTGGTAGGACAAAAAGGGATGTTTCGCTACAGGATATAAAATCCACATCCTGGATTTTGTCTCTGTTGCAAAATTGCTATTCCCTCAGATAAATATATGGGTTATATGTGTCGAAGTTGGCTTTAAAACTGTTGCCTAATGCTTTTTAAATAATGCAACAGGCCTAAACTTTGAATGTTTGGCCAGAGGCACATTTTACCTCCAGGTAAAATGCAACAGCAAATGATTTAATTTGGTTTATTTATCCTAACACCCTAACATATGCAAATGAACTCTAATATCCCTCTATTATAATATTCTATTGAGAACATAAAATCGTCTTGGTTTTAAAGGTGTTGGTTTAAAAAAATTATGAACTGTTATGACATAAAGTATGTATCTTTGGTAACCAGTTTCCTTCTCTATCTTCATTCAGAGGTTGCACAGTGTTGCATCTAGCCATATGCAGTTATGAAAGGGAACTGGATTATGACATATGGACTATAAAATGTGGCATTGCTGACTGAATCAAATACAATAGCTATGGTGGTCTTCAGGATCTGACCTTGCAATCCATTATTCAAGATGCAAATGACTGTCCATATGGCTAAACTATCTAATTGCTAAAGAAGTTAACTTTCTAATGCCACATTCTTAGAATAGACTAAAAAACTAAGAGCTTGGACCTCCTCAGGTCTTCACTTATCTAAACCATCCTGACAGATAAGTGAAGAATTATTTTCAAATCTTTCCACTTGGAAATGACAGCTACATTTCAACACCATTATGTGCCTCAAGCTGTGTTTCTCTGCCTACCTAAATCTTTGTTCTAGGTTCTGTCACATTTTCAGCAATTCAGAGTGTTCATTTTAAAAGATGCCAGATTGGGCACAGGCTGTTGGAATTCATGATACTGGACAGGGTGAAGCAAGAGAATTTTGAATGAATCCTTTTTCTAAGTCAAAATTGGAATAGACTAGTAGAAGACAAACCTTAGTAGTCCAAGACCAGACTAAAGTATCTCACTATAACATATGTATGTATGCATATGTGTTTTGCAGATATTTCATTGCAGAATGTAATTGGTACTCTTTAAGACTGTGTTATTTCTTAAAAGCTCTGAAGGTATTTCATTTACATACTAGAGAATGTTTTGCTATTTATTCCAGGTATTTCCATTGTGTGCAGTGGAACTCCCTACAGGCTCTGAATTGCTGGGTGTTAAATGGAACAGTCCTTGCATCCTGCCTGCATGCAGAGAGTAATTTGTGAGCAAGGAATTAAAAGCCTGGGTTTTAATATAACAGCTGGCAAATCAACATTGTGTTTCACTCATTCAATTAAACTACACAGTACGATTTTGGATTTGGTCCAAGTCATATCCTGGAAGAATATGAGTTTTTCACTGAGAGTTCAATGCAGTCCTCAGTGAGTTGCAGCTATCAAATAAACTGCAGCTTCCCCAGTCCTGGAAGATTTATGACCTTCACTCTAAGCTTGACTACAGCTGTTAAGTCCAGAGTTTTAGAGGGCTGAGCCTCTGACATTCATTGAGTAGATGGGCTGTATTTGTCAAGCTGACTAATCTCATATAGAGTTGATGTGAATCATTCTTCAAAGTACTGTTAAAAGATGCTGGATGTCAGACATGAAACAGGTCTGTCATCACTTGCTCCAGTGACAGGCACATAGGAGCAAAATACTCTGAAACATGATAACAACTTAAAATATTGGCAGGTACAAGAAGAAGAAGAAAATTTACTTTATCTTTCCCCACACAAACTGAAATGATACATATCAGCATGCTATGGCAAGTGCCTCTTCTTCCTTATGGGCCAAAAAAATAATTCATGCTAAATGATCATGTCTCTTTATGTTCCAGAGGGACTGTCTGACTTTGCCCAGAGTCTCCTTCCCTATATGGACTCCATATTAATTGCTTCAAGGAATTATTTACCATGTATTCCCCCAAAAATGATCCCAACCCAAGCCTTCTAGCGTCATCGTTGCAGAGTATTTTTTTTCTAGATGCTGCTTTTATTTTTCAAATTACTTGCCTCATTTCTCTTTGAACTGATTTGAGACAATTCACAAGCAAAAGTCTAAACTGAGTCTGTGCATATGGAGTTTCATTTTCCTAACATATTTTTAAGGCATATCAAGATAAGATCTAGAGACTGTATTTCAAAATAATTTCACATAGTTTACTCAAGTCTGCAGAGTTTTCAAAGATAAACTCTTCTAAAAAAATTTAAAAATCTAGTTTTCTTTCACATAACTTTAAATAGATTTATAGATCCCTTCCATGTTTCATTATCTACACTCTGGATATGCCTACCTGTTATTTTATCAATTACAGGTGAACATTTTCTGTACACACTGTACATACATTTGAACAACAGATGCTTTCATTGTTGATATACCTGTTAACATCGTTGTTTACTAAAATAAATAAGTTACTAGAAGCACATCAAGAAAACAGATAGAATTTGTTAGTCTGAGCTAGACAGAAGCCAGTCTTTGGGCCATGACCAGATTTAAATTATGCTATCAGAAATTTCCATTAATATATGCTTTCTAACTCCATTATACATTGTCAGAGTACATGCAAACATTGTCATTTCCATGGGAATACAGAAGGAGAAATGAAGATATTCTCATTGCTATCAGCCAAACTTCTTAGTGCCCTCTCAGCCTATGTCATCTACTCTTTCAATTTCATAAACTTGTGTTTCACACGTCATTTCTCACAGAGAAAGAAGGTACAGCTAGGATGTGGATGGAATATGATGAGAGCTTTCTTATCAACAATAAGCAAAAAGCTACATTCTTTCATGATTTTTCATGAGAGTGGACTGGCTACCTGAAAAAAAACTTTCCTTCTGTTTTATTACCTGTTTTATATACACTTCATTGATGATAACCTGGAAGCAGAGAAAGATTTAACAGGAGTTGTTAGTGATTTTTAAAATAATAACAATAGGAAAAATATTAATTTAAAAGTAATTATTAAAACATCTACTTTAATGAAAGGAGGAAGTTGTCAGACCTGCCTGATTTAGCTTCGATTTATCTATGTGGTATTTTATAACAAGTTTGGTGCAGCTTTGCACAATAAACTCTAAATACCTTACTTACATTTTCAGAACTATAATCAAATCTGATCATGCAGTGAACTTGAGAGTTAGATTTGCTTTGCTGCCATCCCTTCAGTTCTTGCAAGTTCCTACGATGGCTGTTTGATACATACCACGTAATTTGTATTGACATGAGTCATTGGAAACATTAACATGTGAGAACAGGGAGGAAGACCCCTCATAGGAATTTTATTCCTGCTTAGTGTAAAGTGAACCAAAACTTCCAAAAGACAGGAGAGAAATTGCCTTACCAGCAGGTAAAGGACAATGCATAGGACAGCAAACACCTCTCTTTTGCTTCTCTGAGAAAAAAGACTGAAGAAGAAAAATGCCTCTGACTCTGACTTCCTTTGTTCATTGTATTTTTAGCAGAAATTATAGGATTTCTGAACATCTGGGCACGTATGAAGGAAAACAAATGGAGGAAGACTGGTGTGACTGGCAAAATGGGAACATATTCCCTTTTGTTAGTAAGGAAGCAATGAAGAAAACGGGAATGACAGAAATCCCTATGCTTGTTCACTTTCTGTTCCTAGCGTTTGGTACCATCATATTTTCTACTCTTCTCTCAGGCTGACCTGTATGAAATGCACAGCCTCAACCTGTGTAGAGTTGGGTAGTAGTGTTGTAGTAGAGTTGAGTGTAGTCTGGGCAGGAGGAATAGTTATTTGACACATGGCTAAAAAGCAGTCACATGGAAAATAGGAAGGCAGGTCAGTGAGTCTAGGACTTGAGAAGCTTGGGCCAAGGTTTCTCTATGATAGGAAGGTGCATCTGTTGTTAATCACTGTATGAATCCTTATTTAGTGCTAAGAATAATTTTTAGCTAACAAGATAGAAACTACACAGTTCCTTTCCTCATACACTTTACACATGTTTGATACTGTAATTCTAACATTTTACCCTAGAGTTGAAGTGTGTTCCTGACAGCAGCTGAGATGAAAGCTGACATCTGGAACCTAACAAGTCACATTTACTGGAGAAATCTAGGAATATATGCCTTCCTCTTTGTGTCTTCAGTAAAAAAAACCAAAAAAAAAACAAAAAAAAGGATGATCTCAACTGTGAACAAGGGAATTTAAACCTGCTAGCCAGATTCTACTAAAAATGCCTTTGTGTGACAATCTGTCTGCTTAGCTTTGGCACATAACTTGCAGTGAAACTTTAGGTGCTTAAAGAAGTAAGTTCCCACTTTCTCTCTACAGTCTGTCACTGGAGAGAAGCCACATGGTTAAGTCTGTTTGCTAGCTTTAAACAATACTCTATGGGTCTAAAGTTGGGTAAAAAAGGTCACCATGAAGACTTTTAATGACACCTTCCTGTTGCCAAAGAAAAGAACTTTCTCTGGAAGCATTCTAACATTTGAAAACATGTTGGGCATAGGATGTCTGCCTGATGGTAGCCTACCTCCCATTTTACATAGCCCAGAGCTAACCAAGGAGATTCCCTTCCTTATCCTCCAGTTCCCCATAGCCTTTCAGAACCCCTTGTCCTTTCTTTTTCTGCATCCAGCTTCTTCCCTGCTATTTTCTCCTCTTGATTTGCTTGTCTGTTTCTCATCAGCATTTTCTGCCTGCTGTCTGTGCTCCTTGCTTCTTCTGATCCCCAGCTCCTTTAATGTCAAAGTAGAGACAAGTGCTAAAACTGCTCTCATCATTAACACTTTTCATAACGTTTTTTTGTAAAGAACTGCCAGCATACAATTTACTTCACAGATTCTCAGATGTCTGAAGGCCATCCATCTGCAACTGATAACATTCCATGATGGAAGGTCCAACAAATGTAACTTGGTACTTTCTAGAGACAGTATGCAGAAAAGTTAATGTTTTCTTTTTGGCTTCAGTGGTGTCCTGCCCTTTTCACAGAAGGAAGAGAATGTATTATACTTTCTCTGGGGCACCTGGCTTAAGCTTATATCTGAAGGCTGTAGACTGTTGCCTCTCACAGATCACTGAGCTGTAGGCAGTCTGTCCAAGCACCCTGTGGAAAGAATTAATACCTGGTTATGAATAGTCCATCCTTAATGGAAAACACAGGTATGTGAGAGTGGCTTAAAAAAGTCAGATGTCATAGGTTTGATTCATACTTAAATACCACAAAGCATTTCCCACTGCAACACTGATATGGAGGAGCAGGAAGGCAGAGTAACATGCTGCTGGGGCAGTCTCCTGGTATGGAGAAGACTGTCAGACGTGGTCGATCCCAGTGTGTAGCACTTACTGAAAAGATTTCTTTGCTTACCTGCTATTTCTTGTATTTTTTGTATGGCTGGGAATCACAGAGTAATTGACTATATTTTGGTTGTATTTTCCATCAGCCCAGGAAAGGACCAGTTCCACACTCATCTCCTACAATCACAGCACTAGAAAACAATGTATTACTTAGAGCATAAAATGAAGTAACTTAATGAAAGACAAGTCATTATTATTTAATATGAGCTGCAGCCATATGAGACTTCTGCCAAGCCCAGCGAAGAAAGCTTCCATGATCTCTTCCAAAGTCATACAATAAACTGATAGCTATTTTCCGACATTTTTTGAGAGGATGATACTAGGTATGGTTAAAAATTAACATTTTAATGAATAAGTTTGCATGAGAATTATTTACATTTAACCAATACTAAGATAGGAATGAAAGGGAAAATAATAAAAATGGGTGCAATATGATAGACTGAGAGAAATATTCCTGCCAGTGTTAATATAGAAAACAGTTCAAGATCTAATGAATATTATTAAATATAAATCAAATATGTTATCAAATAGAGAAGAATCTGTAAAACGTCTCTGTAGCATGTCAGAAACAGGCTGAAAACCACTGACCTGCCTTAGATACCAATTGAGTACAAAGAGATCAGCCATAAGTAAATTGCAACATTGGTAATAGGGAGGTGACAGAAACTTGTGAATTAATTATTTTGTGAACTTTCAAGGCCTCCTAAATAATGAATGATATTTGAAAGATTCCTTAAATCCTGTACAGGATTTAAGCACTATTTCTAGATATTTTTAAATTGAAAAATTATTTTAATAGAAGAAAAGCACTAGCTCACAGCATCAAAGCCCCTACTAAAAGGGATCTTGTGTTCCTGTAAGACATTGGGCTTTCAGTATTTCAGCAATGTTATGTCTTTTAGTACTCTTGACTATATTAATATTTTCTTGCAAACCTGTTGTATATAATATGACATCTATTGACAAAGCAGGGGAGAAGTAATAGGATATCATAGACAGCAGGAGGTCCATAAGGGTACAGTACTGGGGAAATGAAAGGCAAGTGAATAGATGAATGGAGAAACATTGGGAGGAAAATAGGGGGGAAAAGTAGAGAGAACAGTGAACACAGCAGGGGACTGTGCTTTGGAGAAAGGAAGTGCCATAAAAGCAAATGAGAAAAAGCACAATGAAAGAAGAAGGGAAATTATTTGGCTAGGTGAACCTAATCAGAACAGTCAGAAAGATATGGATTTTCTTATTAAGCAGAGGCTTCAAGGGACACAAAGCCTACTAAATGGCTCTCTGTCGTCTGTTTTGGAGGTACACCTGTGGTAAGAAAAAAGTAGACAGGACAGAAGAAAGTAGAGACAGCAGGACAAAACTCATGTTCCCTCTAACTGGTTTTTGGCTTTCACAGTTGTAGATTGTACAAGAAATTGCCCTAAGCATCAACACTCACTCAAAATTCTTCCCCAGGTGAATTGCAGCTCAAGCTGTTATAGTATCCAAGAGGGAAGTGTAAAAGTCAAGTCAAATTCAGGGTCTTCCTTATATAACAGCCTCAATAATAGCTTTATTAGCCATTGAGATAGCGAACTGCTTTCTGAGTAGTTAATAACTGATTGTGTCATTCACAATATCCCTTCAAAACATTTTTGTCCTTTTACTTCCAACAGTAGAAACAACTCTTTTATGTATTCTCTGCTAGCTTTTAAGAAAAAACACATCAAGATCATCTACAAAGTAAGAGCCAGCCTATCAAAATAATCTTCATACATTCTTTTCAGAACGGACTGATTCTCTGCCATTCTGGTTACCTGTAGGAATGATTAATAACCTTTGCATGTTGATCATGATGAATGCTACGGGTTTTTTTAAAGTGGAAAATTCCTAAGAGAAATGTACCTTGTAGAGCTTCCACTCACACTCTTGGCTACTTTAGGCACTCTGGTAGAATTTCCCACAGCAGTAAGGGTCTGTGTTTCAGAGATTTAAAATCATTTCAGTGTCAATACATTAAGGCAGTGGTGTACATGATCACGGCCCTTCTAGATTCCTACGTGGTGTTTCTCTGCAGATGGCTCAGTCACTTTAAAAAAAAAATCCTGAATGTGACAGTACCTGCCACATCAACTATGAAAAGTGGATATAGCAGCTCAAATTCTTTGATACTGTAACTCCAGGGGAGGGAAAGTAAGCTCTAAAATCTGTAAGCTCTAGCAGACTTGAGGCATCAAATCTCTTTGATTCGGCTCAAATGTTATGCAGCTAAGCAAATTCTAGTTTTATAGTTTCCAGACAATTTTGCCTCTCTCAGCTTTCTGGCTTAGGTATTCATCATTCATGTCTTTTGTGTGTATTACAGTTTCAAATAGACCATGATAGTGTTTGAGAGCTCCCAGTGTGAGAATTTGTATGGCTCCTTATTTTGGCTGTACAAGGTACTGAGCTCAGCAATGTTTTCTAAGTTTGTAATACCTGATATCTTACCATTTGATTTTTTGTGCACACAGCCCATGATATTCCTTACACATCAGCAACAAACTAATGTCTAGATGAATTCCAAAAATTCAATTTCAAACTTTTAATTAAAAAAATAATACAAAATACTTCAATTTCAAAAATATATAAAATGTCAAATTTTTCATTTCATTTACTAGCTTCCTGGCTAATCATATGCAGACCATTATTTGTGTGAATATAGCTATATTTTCATAAGGATTATGGGGCCATAGAGCTAGTCCCCTAAAATGATATTGCAAAGTGCAATTCTGAATTCTCTTTTGATTGATTATATCCATAGGCTTAGCAATGATTCAGCCTGATCAGTTTGATTGAGCATGATGCCAGGATTTTAGACCAGTATGAAGACGCAGTCCCACTGTTTGTACTTGTTACAGTCCCATAGTGAAACTTCATTTAATAGCTTGTGGCTATTCAGAGAATATGTAAACACTGTTGTACTGGACTCAGTGGATCTGAGATAACTTACTCAGGAGCTGAGCAATGCACTACAAGCTCACCATCTCCAAATTTTCACTCTAAGATAGCAGCAGCCTGAGGAGAACGCAAACGACAGAATACACCTGAGATTTTGAGCTTAGGCATGGGTTACCTGTGGTTTTCAAGTAACTTATGCTTATCAGCAGGTCAAGAACTGCTACTGTATTGTAGCCATACTATTTTCTGGTTAATGCACAAGAGGAATAAACTGACTCTGTGTTATGGGAGGAAAAAAAACCAAAAAACCAAACATCAGGACCTAATTAGACTAATACTACCAGATTATCCTGCAATGTGTGGTAGTGCTGAGAGAGAACAGTGGGACCTCTTGGGAGCCTGATCTCTCCCATTAGCGCAATGCCCCCTGCAACTTTCATCTTGGATCTCTGTGAAATGTGCTATTTTCCTGCTGATTTTGCCCATATGAACAAGAAAACGTGGGTTGGAGGATCACAAAGATAATCTGCTCTCCTTCTAGTTTAGATGGGAGTAAAAGGGTAAAACTTACATGTGTCAATGGAAAGGCTCTCACTGACTTCAGTGTTTGCTTTGCTGGGGCTGTGAGTCAGAATGACACATAGGTGGTGGGGATTTAGTTATCTCTTGTTTCCTGTCTGGTTTAAGCAATTATCTGGTTCAAACGAATTTAGGAAACTCACTCTGCAGCTTGCAACTACTTCAAGAGGAAATATGCAAGACAAAGCCCCTCATTGATTTGCTTGTATATAAATACAGCCTTAATAAAGTACAGTTTTCTCGCTGTTAATAGCATAATGCTGATGGAAGAAAGGAAAGGAATAAACTAATTATCTCCTTTTCTTTGTTTTTTGCTTTTCTTACTGCAGGCTGCTGAAATGAGGCAAGTAAAGTTTTGCCTCATAATGCAATCTGATGGACAGCAAGGTTTGAGGCATTGAAGCACTATGAGGAGGTGAGAAAGTAAGGTCTCCTAATGTCAGCAGAAGGAATATACATGTTCTGTTGAAGGATGAAAAAAGAAATACTGAAGCTTACACTTATTTTGTGCTCCTTACTGATGAATCTAGGAGTCAAATAAAGACAATATTAGGGGGAGTTAATAGTCCTTCTTAGATCAAGTGACTTAGCTACAGCCAATGAACAAACTACTGTCTTAAAATTCAGTCAGAAAGCTCCAGAGATACTGAGCAGTCAAGGCAAGTAAGAAGCCCTGGGGTCTCATTTCATTCTTCACTGATTTGTATGAAGTGCAGAGCTCAGTAAGGAGTGAATTTTGAGCCTCTGCAATCTTGTAAACCCTATTTCAGAGACTTGAAAGAGATAGCAAAGGAAAAAAATAAGAGACAGAGGCGCTTTTTTTCCCCATTCTCTTCCCTAATGCTTGACAGAGATCAACATGTCATTTCATCTCACAATACCTTCCTGATTACATGACTTTAGCAACAGTTTTGTTTCCTAGAAATCTCCAGGTATTTTGTGTTGCTGTCTGATTTCCTGAACAAAAATATTTCTGCAGTTCTTTCTGTTTGTGCTGCCTCCACTAATGAGTTCTCAGAGGTACATTAACCTAAATAGCTTTATAAATGAGAGGTGTTGAAGGAGACTTCTTAGTGCAAAGGGCTCAGGAATACGTGTAAAAAGCTTTCTCCTCTATTTTCTCTGTTCTTCTTGCACAGAATTTTCCTTTTTGAGGGAAAAGGGAGCTGCCATTCCCATTACGTGCCCAGCCTAAACTTGATTGGACAGTGTCATCTTTCCTTGCTGAGACCCACAGTACTCCAAATATCATGTATGACCACAAGAATAAAAGTCTTTCAGCTCTATTCTTATTTTCCCTCATTTTATTGGTGCTGGGGAACATCAGCCATCTAAATAGTGAAGAGGAATTGAGCATTATAAGGAACATAAGCAGGCATTACAGCAAGTAAAAGGAATCAGATGTCTCTGGGGCTCTGATGTTGTTAATTTTCCAAAGTTCTTGTTTAGTTCTGAGACAAAAATAAGTATTCATGTACAAGTTGGCATGCTAAAGTCAGTGTAACTGTTCAGCCAGGAGTTGTAGTGCAGTATCTGAACTGAGCTTTATTCTCCTCATTAATATGTGACCTACCGTGAAGCAAGGAAGTGAGACAGAGTTCCTCAGGCAAGACAGGGATGCATCTAATTGGCAGAGGATGGCAGTTTCCTCCCTATGGATGGATGCTCCTGTATTATTTTGCCTCTTTTAACTGGTGGCAGATAATATGAAGGAGAGAATGTAGCTGTTTGTGTGTTCTTAACAATCACGCATCATCATTGTATGGTGGTAACTGAGAGTGGAAACCAAAATAGTTAAAATACTTTAAATGGCATCATTGGACAAAGCTTGATATTAAAGCTGCAGCAGATGTGGAACTTTTTTGTTCAGCGCTTTTTTCCATGAAGAAAATAGTTGGCCAACTGCTGGAAAACCATTTAGTGCTGTGGGATGACATTTTGTGTTCATTTTCTTCAGCAGCAATGATTTATAAATTACTGTGACTCTACATGTAAGGCCCCCTATTACAAAATACCACCCCAATCCTTCTTCCATTGTGGTTGATATAAAAGCTCTTATTGGTTTTAATGTGTTCTGTATAAAGCCCTGTGATTGTAGTGGGGAGTCAGGAATAATTTATGCCACCTACTGATCTACTAATACTCTCTGGCGGTTTTTTCTTTGTGTTTGGAATAAGAGAGCACAGACAACTTCCATTTAAGATAATTTAACTGAAGACTGCTGACTGAGATTAAGCTGTGTAGAGTGTTTTCTGGTGTTCCTATTTGATACTGGATAATAGTAATAATAACACTAGCTTGTAATTTCTGCAGTCATTAAAGTCTTCGAAAAAATATGAAAAATGAGCTACATATTTATGACTTTCTTGAGCAGGCTTATTAAAAATGTTTGTCAATAATGTTAAACTGTGAGGAAGAATTCTGACAGGTTATTTAAAAGAACATTTAAGGCTTTCATTAAAATTACTTTCAGTTATCTGAAGTTCTAGAGTTATTCCATGAAGACTGAATTCAGCACATAGCCTACTCTCTTCTTAAAAAAACCCCAAAAAAATCAAAGAACCAACTAAATGAAACCAGAAAAATGTTTCAACTTACTCCTATAATTTCCAATGTGGCCTTCTTCCTTTCAAAAATATATTATTGACTCATGAAAACTCATTATGTGTTCTCTCCCCCATCTCACTTTTGAAAGTGCCAGTGGCATATGCTGTCCAATGGGAGGACAAGGGCACATCTGTTGTCTATAGGGCCTATCTGTAGTTGTCACCCTTTATACCTTGCCAGTATCTCCAGCTGTTGGATTAAGGGTGGTACAAGGTATAACCCTGCCTCTCCCTTTAGTATCTGTCTATGCAAGCTGTTTTCATGAATTTGTCTAATCCCTTTTTGAATCCACCATTACTATCTGCCTCGACATTTTCTATGAAAACTAAATTCATACCATCATTTTGCTCTGTAACAAAACATTTTGCATCTACCTCTATGCTGAACCAATTTTTCTATTTTTCTATTTTCAGTAACTGACCCTTACTTCCTGTATTGCAAGATTTAGCAAATAAGGTTTTGCACTCAGCTTAATCTTCCATGACTTTTCAAACATTTCAGTCACATTTCCCTAGGCTTCTCCCTTTTGAAGTCTCAGCCCTTTTAGCCTGTTCTCACAAGGCATTCAGTCTGTCATCCTACTCATTTTAACTGTCCTTACCATTACCCTCTTTAAACTCTGTTATGTCTCTCTTAAAACATGGAGATTTGCAGTTTTCTGTTTATCCAGCCCGAACTTTGAGGACAGAAATCCTTAAACAGAACTTAGACTACTTTTTCCCCCTGAATTAGGATTTTTCAGTCTCTTGCAGAAACATGTTTCCACTGTTAAATTTGCAGCAAGGATTGTCTAAATAACAAGGATGACGCAAAATAGGGCTAAGGAATAAAAAGAAGAAATGTAAATATATGCAATGCTTTTCATGTTAATTTTTGAGTTCAACTCAAGATGGTTCCTTGTGCCCTTATGTTTCTCAGTGGGGGAAAAAAAGTGGTAAAATATTTTGAAACATATTTTGCTTTTTCAGAAACTGTAAGACAGTCAAAAGTCAAAGCTTCTTATTTTTTTTTAAATCTCTAGGGGAATTTTTGTCACCTAGGTTTTAACACAGTCCATGGCTGCAAATATCTGTTTATCATTAATAGTAGTTGATCATATATGGTATAGTACTCTAATGAAATGAGATGCAGCTATGAGATTGAGTAGTTCTCAGGAAAGTTCATGTGTATGCATATACACATCCATTTTCTAGACAGTCTCTTTGAAACACTCATCTTCCCTTTTCCAGAAACATCATGTTACCTGTCTGAGTAGCTCTCAGGTCATTTATATTTGTACTGTTTTGCCTTAGTAATTTGCAAACAGAGCACTGAAATCCAAAGAGAATTAAATCCTCACAAATGAGTTAGGAGCATGATACTCTCCAGATGTTTTGTGGGAAATGAAAAGAAAGTGTGTCACTAAAAAAATCTCTAAAGAGGAAACTATTTCTCTTTGCCACCAATTGAGCTATTGAATTCAATTACATGTGGAAGAACTGGTCTGTAACCTCATAAACATTTTTAATCTTGTTTTAAAACCAGTAAGCAAGAATTAATTTAACACACAACTTGGCAGTAGTTAATTCAGTGATTAATTATTCAGTTACATTTATTTCATACTGACATTTTTTTTCTTTCTAATTTTCCAACTATTCATATTATATCCCAGAGATGGGTAAGCCAGTTTGGGAAAAACAAGAATTGCTGTCAAGTTCAACTTTACAATTCTTCAAGGAGAATCAGGGCTCTTTTACATCAAGAATATTTTTAGGACATGGTATAATGCTTATTTTTCACTCTGTGAGCACTTTGTGGTCTCTGCTATTTGGACATTGGTTTAAAAATAATAGTGATAAAATATGGTCTTGCCAAAACCGCTCATCAGCTAATAAAACTGATATTCAGATTTAAAAGTCTAGTTTTTATTGGTATGTAGAGTTTATTTTTAAAATATTCTAATATTCTATTCAGTTGGAAAATTATTTGTCATTATGTTTATATATATATATATATATATATATATATATATATATGACAGGTAGCCCTCTGAATCAAGAAAAAATAAATCCCCAAATTTCTTGTTAAAAAAAGGCTGTAACTGAAAGGGTGCCTCATAGATGGCAATCAAGCTTCTGCAGCATTCTTATCAGCATCTCAGAGAGATGGGTTCAGAAATTCCAGTGGAGCACAGCCTGGAGGCCCTTGCTCTTGCTGTGTCTTCAAGATTGATAAAGATAAAACTTGCGAGTATGCCAAGTCAGCCTCTGGATCCTTCTGTGATTTCTTCTGGAACTAACAATGCTGCAGTTAACAAAAGAGGTTGAAATCCCATTCTTGAGCGTGTTGCCTTTTAGTGAAATACCCTTCAAGACCTTTGTGCTGAATAAGCTAGTTACATGATAAGGATCTGTTATTATGGATTATTTAGTAGATATATTGATTTTCAGTTCAGAAGGAGGAAGCATGAAAAACATATCAGCAACTATATGACATGTATTTTAGAAAAAATATGATGGATCATGTAATGTCAGTCGAACCATGCACAAACTCCAGCTTTCCCTCTTGGAGCAAAAATAGCTAGGTGTAGCTTTCTTAGATACAACTGTCAGTAATCTCTTTTGTAACCAAATTAAAATTCTATGATATCTGTGAAATTGATTCACATCACCAAGACATTTATGAAATAAAATTAATATAAAGCAAACCTCACAATGGATCAGATTTGGCAAAGTAGTTACTGGCTGCCCTATCAGTGCAACTTCCTTTTACAAGTGATGGAAAATTTGAATGTCTTGTGGCTTAGAAAAACAAATATAAACCTACAAGAATCATAAAGGAACATAACCATTATATGTTACAAGTTTATTTTTGAGATTTTTTGATAGGGAAGGGAAGATCTTTGGGTATTTGGCAAGTTATTACTCCTTTTTTTTCCATGCCTTCCTTTTTGCATCATCTTGCTTCTTCCTTTTGTATACAAATGCATAAATAAAACAGGGAAACTAAAGCCCGATTTCTACCTCCAGACTAGTTACCAAAATTGCATTTTGCTCATCCTCTCAGGAGCTGTTTGGGTATTTTAAACTCAATGGAATAGGTTTAAAAGAGTACTGGTGATCAGCGCTTTGTCAGCCAGCTAGGATGTGGAAAATCTGAATCCTGCTACATGTTTCAATCAAAGTTTATGCTAAATAAACAGCAGTAAATAGAGTCCACTTCAGCTTAGGATAGTGGGCCAGTGTGTCTCAAAGATACTTGGGTTTAAATTTTCTGTTGTAAAAGGTGCAAGTGAATCCAGTTCTTCTGAGCCTTGTGCATGCACATTATTCATATTCACATCCTGAATAAAAGGATGTTAGTATATTATCTGGTTTTAGTAAAATCATGGTTCTAAATTAAAATTCTTTTGCATTTTCTTTCAGTCAGGTCTGATTTGTAGAATATATATTTTCAGGATGGGCACACATTGTTTGGCAGACTTAATATTTGTCTTCAGAATATGTGCAACTACAAGAGAATTATGGTGGAAATGCAATACATTACTCCAGCCCTGACTGTGGAAATGATTGCAAATTATGAAGTCATTTACGGTGCTACTGCAAACAATCCAAACATATATTTAAGTCTTTTACTCTTCTGAATATGGACATACACCAGAATTTTATGTATCAAGATTAAAAAATTGATCATAA